GATTGAAAGCTGGATATTTTGGGGGGATTCAGAAGTAAACAATACTATCAATCTTAATCAGCATGACCAATAATAAGTGATTGGAACTGCAATTTAATAGATTGGAAAAGCTATATATTATACACTACTATTTAAGGTGGAGTTAAGTGCATCTAATACACAGGATAGGTTTTGTTTTTGGGTGGGATTTTTTTTTTTTTTGCATAAGACAATTGTTAGTTTTTTGAGACATCAGAATTCAATGCTGATATCTGCATTAAGTGGAACCTATTTTAAAGAATAGGACTATAAATCAAATAGTACTATTCCTGACAGCAGCCATTCCAAACTATCTTGTTCTCCTAACTGAACAAGACATTTTCATCTAAACAACTTGTCCTGCAATAACCAACTCACTATATTTAAAATTGTAATTTCAGTATTAGTATGTTAGTTCCAACATTTACTCTTGACAGTCCTTCCTACCCTTACCTAAGATTTTATTATTTATTAGTCTGCAATCTACTGCTATAAACTATAAAATTCCTTTCATATTTTGCAAAATGGCAATGAAAGTACCGTAAGATTGAAATAGTCATATGACCACTAAATGTTATGATATGTTTATATGCTTCATCATGTACAGAGCCTCATTTACATAACTTATTTGGTAAAAAGAGTGTTCAAGAGATATTGTCAAGTTTTTCTCCCCCAGTGGCTAGAAGTTTTGGGTGTCTGGATAGAGAAAAAGCAGATTGCAGCTCAATCCTGGCAAGATCACGTTGCTAAGGGTTCTGAAGTCCTCACATCCAGAGATCATTCCATCTCTATCTTCGCATGGGATTGCACTTCCTCAAACCCCACTGATGTAATTTGGGAGTCCTCTTGGATTCGTTTGCTGCTCACGGATCACATTGCAGCTCTGGCAGCTATTGCCTTTTGGTAAATCCATCTGATGTACCACTGATAACACATAACTAGATTGAGGGGCTCTATTCATGGCCACCCATGCCTTTGCCACCTCCTGGTTGGTTGGACTACTGCAAAGAAGCTGCCTATGAAGTTGCAACTGGTCCAGAATTCAGTGGCACGAAGCCTCATCTAATGGTTCTGTGAGCTTGCACTGACTCCCAGTGGTTTTCCAGATAAAAGTCAAGTTGCAAGGCTGTCCCTATATGGAACAGAGGCAAACTATATGCAGAACTATCTGTATACACTGATTTCTGCTTACCATGTTTGACAGCATGAGCATACTCCTGGCTCCTTTTTGAACCACTGCTTTTTTGATGGCTGTTCTCTGAAACAAATATCTCCCCCCCATGATATACAAGCCCAAACTTTGCTCACCTTTTAACATCTGCTTTTGCCCCAGGCATTTGGAGCCAACCTTTTGGTTGCTTTTATTATGACTGGTTGTTATTCTATAGTCTGTATTTCATGTTCACATTTATGCATTGAGTACATTGTCACATTACATGGGTTTTTTTCAGGTTGCGTTTTTGTTGTTGTTGTTGCACGACACTCAGAGTACCACTATTTGAGTTGGGTGGCCTTATAAAACCAGAAAATAAATCTAATGGGATTCAAGAGGCAAACCCCGAGATTCCCTGAGATTCAAATGAGCCCCTTTCAGTTGGTATTCAGAAAGTTTCAAAAACATGATTATTTCAATAGCCAGGACATTAAGTCATACTAGTTAGGTAGGTAAAGTCTATACATTTTCTGAAGATTATGCATTGTTGTTGTGATAGTTATAAATTAATTGTTGGGGTGTGATTATTATGATTTTAATTAATGTTATTTTATTCTTAGGAGTGCCAGTTTGGAGTAGTGGTTAAGGCATCAGGCAAGAAACTGAGATATCATGAGTTCCTGAAGGTCCCTGAAGCCTCTGGAGGGCCTCTGGGGGGGAGGCTGTTTCCGCCCTCCCCAGGCTCCTATAAAACCTCTGGAGCCTGGGGAGAGTGAAAAAAGCATGCAAAAATGGGGGGGTGCCTCTCATGCATGCATGCACACTGGGGGGGTTGTGCATTGCATTATGGGCGCGGCACGCCAGTGCACAACCCTCCTGTGCTTCCCCCCTAATGGCACATGAGCCAAAAAAGGTTTGCCATTGCTGCCCTAGCCCATGACTAAGTTAGGCTTAAAACATTCTTAACTGTACTTTGATGAGATGTTTCTTCATCCCAGTTCCAACACTATCTATGGTAATCTCAATTGATGGCTGGGGAATTCTGGGAATTGAAATCCAAAAGTCTTAAAGTTGTCAAAGTTGGATACCTATGATCTATACTGTAATATCTATCAGAGTTTGTACCCCGTTACCTTATAATAATATACATAATTTAAAATTATGGCTTTGGAGTGGATATGATTATACTTTTTTCAGATATCCTAACAACATTGCACCACATCTAGTAAAAAGCTGCATGGATTTTTGCAGATTGCCTTAACAGAGTCAAAGCAGAGAATGGAGCACAACCTCTAGTTCTAAATATTCTAATTACAAAGTCCCAAAACGAAGCCAGCATTTTTCTGGATAAACCAACAATATGTAATCAATATTCATATCACACAAAATAACGCCTCTTGGCTCAACATTGTGATAAGAGAAGCCTGGTAACTTTAAATGTTTGCCCTGAGCTGTTCTGACTATACCTCAGAAAGATTATAAGCACTCCATAAATACCCCAGATTAATACTGATCCCAACATCAAATCCACTTAAAGGACTTAAAGGAATACTGTGGTTCTCAAAGCTCTAACTCACTGCTTTCTTCCAAGAAAAAAACTGCTTTCTTGGAAAACCAGAAGAAACGAATTAATGAAAACATGGCAAATAATACATATTGTGCCTGATATTGGTAAGAATACCGATTGGTAAGAATTGGTAAAGGTATATTGATAAGAAAATGTCTAAAATATGACAGAAGGTGCATCTATATAATTTATTCTCTGGCTTTATACACAAAACAAACATACATAGAATTAAGGTTTCTTTTTTTAAAATCAACCCTCTTATTGTGAAAGCAGGAGCTCTCCTTCCTAAAAGAAGCATACATTACTCTAAACTATATTATAGGTTAAAGGAACTATTTCCCACTCTTCTTACAGGTTCAATCATTTATTTCATCAGTTTATATAGTGATTGGTTATTAAACAGGATTTAGTCTCAGTATGATTTTAATTAATTTTAACATTTGTAGCATGTAAAAATGTTACATGTCTTACTAAAATAAAACAGTGTAGCCAACAACAAGGAGAAAAATCACAAGGACCAGCAATACAGTGTTTGGTGTACAGGAAACAAACAAAAACACATACCTCACTTATACATATCTTTATACTGGACAGGTAACAAACATTTAAGCCCACTTCCTGGGACTTCACACTGAGTAACTACATTAACTAGTACATGAATATAGTTCGTAATCCAATATAACATATTTTTTCTAGACGGAAGTCACCTCTGCATATAAGCAGTTGATTATATTTTTCTAAGTTCATGCATTGTAAATATTATCTATATGAATTTGCAATTGCAAAACTCTGCAATACAGATGCAAATGTTGCAACAGAGGCAGAAACTCAGTTTTAAAACCCACATGCAGCAGAAATGGTAATCTTGGTCAAGGTAATCTTGGTCAAGAGTTATGATCAGCATTTTGCATCGTAAGCAATACTACTATTTGAATACATTTTAGTACATCTGCCCTTAGTATACAATCTGAGCAAAAAGTTTCTTTTTAAATGATGCAGACTTGTAATAGCATGCATCATTTTAAGAGTCTTTTCCCTTTGCCTATGGAAGGGAATGCCTTTTTTAACCCAGCTGTAAAAAAAACTTTAATACAACTACTACTGGTAACTAATTAGACATCTATCAATGAACACTTGTTGACCAATTTAATTAAACCCATTAGCTGAACAGTCCCAAAAGAGAAATATTGTTTTTCTTAACTACATCACAATTATTAAGTTTAAGACGACATAATAGTCATCTCAAAAAACTTTTGCATTTATGGAGGGTGGGGGAACAAGACAGACAAACAATGTAACAAAATCCAAGAAACAAAGTACCTGAACATTTTGTGCCATGAATTCTGGTTAATAAATAGGTTTTCCGTATCTATTTAAAGACATGTGCTAATTGTAATTTCAAATTGTAAAAAAATAAAATAATCAGAGATGTTCTGTTTTTGAAACAGCCTTATGGGAAGCAGTAATATAGCTAAACGCCTTTCCATCTGCAGCAAGCATTGCATTATGGAGGCTTAAAGCCATCTGAAAATAGACCCAAGGATTGAGAGCAAACTGGTTCCTGACGATCAACAAGTTTAGATGTGAAGGAGTCACAGTTCAGAAGGGTGGCCACCTGCCAATGTTTACTGACTCTCATTCGTTAGGAACTAACTCCACCTCCAAAGTCTCCAAACTCCACTCATCATACTGCCTTGCACTAGAAGACCAATTCTTTCTCCAGGACTAGAAGGAACAAAACAGCATCCTTCACACCCTTTCCCCAAACGTCTCTTCTTGGAAGCCTTCCGGATCCCTTAGCAGTAGGTGCAGTTCTGTCCACAGGCAAACCGCGGGGTTGAAAACCCTCTCCCAGAAATCATCCCTTTTTGGGATCGGGGCAAGAAATTAGGAATAAATTCCTCGAAGAAGAGACAACTTCGCCAGCCAGCCGGGGGAGGTTGCCACATAACATCTCAGCTTTTTAAAAAATATTATTATTCGCCTTTGCACACTGGCCCATAAGAGAAGAGGCAAAACTAGGAAGAGCATCAATCAAAGCACGAAAGAAACCAGCGGGGACTGGAGAGAGCGAAGGAGAAAACGCGTCTTTGTCTGAGATCATCCATAACCTCATAACTACCCAGCCAAGACCCCCCACAAAGACAGGGAGAAGCATCGGCTACCAGCCTCTTGGCTAATGCTTCGTGGTCACCTGGACTGCTTTACAGCGTTACGTGTGCCCCCCTCCACACGTCGATTAAGACGCTCCCCGTTCCTTACTTTTCATGCTGGGAGATTTCTTGCCCCTTCCCCGGCGGTGCGGACAGGGCACCCTGCTGCTGCTGCAGAAGCACCAGCCTGCAAGTGGCCAGGTGCCGCCGGTGCTCCTCCTGGAGCCGGGCGTTCTCGTGGTACATCTTGGCCACTTGCTGCTCGAGCTCGTCTATCCGAAGCTTTTGCTTCTCCAGCAGCTCCTGCTGCGTCTCAATGATCTTGTTGAGTTCCTTGAGGTACTCCGCCGCCTTGCTCGGGTTCTCCGCCGGCGCCTCCATGGCCCGGCCAGTTCTGGTAGCCGCCACGCACCTTCAGCGGTCTGAGGCGGTCTTGGCCACAGCTCCGGGGAGGGAGGGAGGCAGCAGCAACGCCTGGGAACTCAGCTCGACCGCGGGTGTCAAAAGTCGACGACCCCAGCGCCAGTCCGGCTGTCTCTCCCCCGCAACACACACACAGTTGGAAGTCCGCTTCTCGGCTAAGGAGAGTCGACCGAGCAGTTCCTATTCCGAGCCGCCATTGCCCGCGGGGCCCTCTTGACTGCTTTTGACCCAGCCGGCCGGGCGTGTTGTTTCCTTCACCGAGAACGTCCCGCGAGTCTGGCGCGCAGGTTTCCTTCCCGCCAGCCTTTTTCCTTCTCTTCAGCGAGCCCAGGGAAAAGTCTGCCCCGGCCAGCTCCGCAACCAGTTCCCTCACCTCAACCGCCTCTCGCGTTGACTCCTCCCGCTTCCTTTCTTGTTTCGTTCTTTTTCTCCCCTCTCGTGCTCACGCAGGCGCTTTGCCCCCCCCCTCCCTCCGCAGCTTCTGTTACTGGTCTCGTTTTAAACCGCAACAGCCCCTGGATTCCGCACGTCGACAACGCGCAAGGACCGGCGCAGAGTTTGCAAAGTGTCCGCTCCGTACTGGATGTGGCGCCGCTTCTCCGGCTCGCGGGGAGGAGGGGTTTGTAGAAAAGAGTTGGTGCTGAGGAGCTGCGTAGCCGACTGATTTAAGCCGCTGGGGTTTGTTCCTGTCGCCGCGGCGTCCTCTTGGCCGCTGCTAGCCAGACGGTCAGTGCAGCCCCAGCATTTCGCTCCAACCCGCTCTCCGACACGCCATAAGTCCCTTCCCCGCCGGGCGGGGAAGAACGGCGTGTGGTGGCAGCTGCAGGACCGCTGCGAAGGCGGGAGACCGGCCAGGGAGTGACCAGCACGTGGAAGCAAGCGAGCAGCCCCGCCGCCGCCGTCCCCTCAGCCCGGCTCCCCTTTTGGGTGAGAACCGACGCAGAGCACCGCTGAACGACACCGGCATAAAGATGGGAATATCGGCTGCCGAAAAGGACGCCGCCTTCCTCCTCCTCCTCCTTTTTCTCCCACCCAGTTGCGAAGAAGGAAATAGCGAGGACGCTGAAGAGCCCGGACGCTCCGCCAGGTGAGGGGGACAGTAAGAGCTCTCTCTCTCTCTCTCAAGGTGGGTTTGCCTCCTTTTCCTTTAAGTCCCCAGCCCGCAACAAATCCGTCCGGCGGCGGAAATTTAGACTCCCAGCTGCCTCCTCCGTATCAAAGGCGTTGGTGGCAAGCTCGCAGTTAGCTCTCCGAAATGCTTAAAACATCCCACCACACAGACACACGCCGCTGAATTTACTCCGGGGATTTCAATTCAGAGAAGAAGATTGCTTTTCTAGGGGAAAAGAGGAAGGAGGAGCTGGAAGGCGGAAAGTTAAGCCCGGCTGGCACTGCCCCAACCTCTCTCAGCGCCCTTTCCCTCCCTTGGGAAAAGAGGGCAGCCGGGGCCCTTCCGAACAGCAAGGAGCAGGAGGCCCCTCCTTGTCAAGAGCCGGAGCTGTTTGCAAACATCGCCAGCCGGGCGCTCCAAGCGGCAGCTTTCTAGTCATATGGCGACTGCCAGCGCTTTGAAGAGGAAGCCGGTCTCTCCTCGAGCAGCAGAAGAGCGAGCGGCGTCCTCCCTCCAGGGGGACCTCCGCGCGAGTTGTGGGCGTGGAACCTATTGGAAAGGATCCGTGGCGGTTGACCAAAGAGACGATCAAAAGAAGGTGCCTAGAGAAATAGGGAAACCTGTAAGTTGGGGAAATGGTGGGCGGGAAGGGGAAACGGGATTTGCTTTCCTCTTTCTCGATCACTTCCCAATCGCCTTTCTCTGTTTTCCTTCCCTCTGCGTTCTGAAAAGCGCCTTGATGCCCTACGGACTGCAGGTTTTGCTGCTTCACTAGCTGTACAGAGAGTCCTCGACTTACAACAGTTCACTTAATGATCATAAAAATGACTTTTCACAGTTGCAACCTTTGCAGCATCCCCATAATTAAAATTGATCAAAATTCAGAGGCTTGGCAACTGGTTCATACATAGCACCATTGAAGCATCCTGAGGATATGTGGTTGCAATCTTCTGACAAGCAAAGTCAATGGGGAAGCCAGAGTCACTTAACAACCAGATTACTAACTTATCAACTGCAATGATTCACTTAACTGTGGCAAGGAAGGTCGTAAAATGGGACAAAAGTCACTTAACAAATGTTTCCCCTAACAACATAAATTTTGAGCTCCATTGTAGCCATAAGTCAGGACTACCTGTACTGGTCCCTGGTTTGCAAAAAGTCGGTTTCTGTGAAACCAATCTAGGTTGAAGTTTCTTCTAATGCTTGATTGAAAAGGCAGCTTTGAGGTAAGAAGGTTATTCAGAAAAAGAAGAAACTTGAGGCTTTCGAATAAAGGAGCTAATAATTGTAAAGGTTTTCCTCTTCCCTTTTCTGCAACATCCAAGGTACTCAGAGTAGCGTAGATCCATCTAATAACAGAACTACCCTGAAACTCTGAAATAGGCTGCAAAAATACATTCAGTATAACTGTGGTTAATGACTCTTCAAATTAGCTTTCCCAAGCCAAGAAAACTACAGGACTTGTTGGGGAATCAGACAATGATTGAACAGAGGGGGGGAAATACTAATATGCCAGAGAGATATATCATTTAAAAAATACTGTAAAAAATTAGGACCTTGATCACCAAATTTTAACACTGTTGTAATTATTATTACAAAAAAAGAGGAAGAAATCTTAGAAGTTTAAACAAATGCATCTTACTAAAAACAAATATCATAATATCTTGATAGATCTATGTAGCCAGCTTAATAGCTAACCAAATAAGTCTAAAATATTAAAATGATTGCTCAAATATTGGAGCAACCCAGAGTATTTGATTCTTCACCCGACTATATGGAAAAGGAGGAATGGGGAAGGAGTATTTAGCAAATATGAAAACTCTGCTGTCTGCATTTATTTATAATCTTAATAATGGGATATGGGGGGACTTTTTAGCTAGAATCTCTTGTCTTCCAATTGCACACAGGATTTTGAAATGGAGGAAAGTACAATGATAAATGACCCATGCTAGTCAAAGTACCTAATCTGAATGTTTACCTTATTTATTTATTTAGTTAGTTAGTTAGTTAGTTAGTTAGTTAGTTAGTTAGTTAGTTAGTTAGTTAGTAGATTTATAGGCCGCCCAATCCCGGAGGACTCCGGGCGGTTTACAAAGCGAAAAGAAAAGTAATTAATAAAAAATAAAGGAAAACAATTTAAAACATCACACATACACCCAATCTGATTGGGGCTGGACCTCAGCAGTGAGGTCAACAGCCCCAGGCCTGCTGGAATAGCCAGGTTTAACAGCTTTTCGGAAGGCCATGAGAGTGGGCAAGGTCCGGATCTCTGGGGGTAGTTCATTCCAAAGGGCCGGAGCAGCCACAGAGAAGGCCCTCCTCCTGGGAGCCGCCAGCCGACACTGTCTGGCTGACGGCATCTGAAGGAGGCCCACTCTGTGGGATCTCACCAACCGCTGGGGGGTATGTGGCAGTAGGCGGTCTCGCAGGTATCCTGTTCCTAAGCCATGTAGGGCCCAAAAACCAGTTTACAACCACAACGGAGTCCAACCTCTGCTTTGCTAAGCAAGACAGTTGTTAAGCGAGCTTTGCCGCATTCTACAACCTTTCTTGCTACAGTTGTGAAGTGCATCTGGGTTCCCCCTTGACTTCACTTGTCAGAAAGTCACAAAGAGCAACCAGCTTACCTTAGAACAGTGCAACCCTCATAAATACAGGGAGTCCTCAACTTACAGCAGTTCATTTAGTGACTTTTCAAAGTTACAACGGCAGTAGAAAAAGGTGTCTTAGAATCATTTTTCACACCTATGATCATTGCAGCGTATCCTTGGTCCCACGATTTACATTCAGATGCTTCACAATTGACTCACATTTATGACGGTTGCAGTGTCCCAGGATCATGTGATCCCCTTTGGCGACCTTCTGACAAGCAAAGTCAATGGGGAAACTGGATTCATTTAACAACCGGGTTGCTAATTTAAGAACTGCAGTGATTCACTTAACAAATGTGGCGAGAAAAGTCATAACATGGGGGCAAAAACCCAGTTTAAATATTTCTCACTTAGCAACTTCAATTTTGGGCTCAATTGTGGTTGTAAATTGAGGACTACCTGTACATGCCAGTTTCCAAGCCACCGAATTTTGATCATGTGACCGCTGTAACAGTTGTGTGAAAACCAGTCATAAGTCACCCTTTTCAATGCCACTGTAATTTCGAAGAGTCGCCAGCTGAAGTTGTAAGTCGAGGACTATCTGTAATAGCTGCTGTTTTTCCTGTTCTGATCGTTTCGTACTATTTCTTTCTTTTTTTAAAGTTCTTACTTCGTCATTAAATTTATAGCTGTTTCTGTCATTCCTCTATGAGTTCAATATTGGATCCCTGACACACCCTCTCCAATTTCCCCCCAGAGAAGGCTTGTGAGCTAAGATGGATGGAAAGATGGCACAATATAATTATTTCTTCATTTATTACTGTTTGCTATGTCTGTCATCATGCTGCCTAGTTTAAATATTGGCTAGATTTAAATCCCAACTATATTTCAGGAACTGAAGACAGCGCACACAGTACTTACTCCCTTTTCCTCATTTTTCCTAGGGAACCCTATGAGGCAGATTGGACTAGGAGTAGCCCAAAATCACACATTTAGTTCCCATGGCTGAGAGAGGACTCAATCCTAGTCTAGCATCTTAAGCACTACTTCATCCTGGTGGCTGCTGTTAGCCAGCTGGGAACCAAACTTGATATGTTGTGAAGGATTTAATAAGGCTGTGACAAAGTGAGAATGAGACCATGGCTTAAAAATGTGAAGTCAAGCTGAATCTTAGGAATGTTTCTATGTGTGGATGGTCCTGACTCCCCACGTTCTTTTTTTTGCTAATGGCTTTCCCCTCTTTTATTCTTATAGTCACATCAAGATGCTTAAGAGCATTTAAGAGTTGAAAAGCGATGCATTCCTAGTTGTGGTAGGTATTTAGAGCATATTCTATGATTAATGCATGAATATATTCTGATGAAAGCTGAGGTACAAACCAGATGGCAATTCCAGAACAGGGTGTGGTGAGGGAGGGAAGAAAGAGAGGAGAGGAGGAGGAGG